CCCCAAAACCCCAAAACCCCAAAACCCCAAAACCCCTTTTGCAAGGACTAGTATTGACAAATATATATAATTACTAGACTTGAATGGATCCAGGCTTGCCAAAACCTTCTTCAGAATTTATCGACTGGAGGATAAAGGACAATGGCGTTGCCATTGTCACTATCAACAGACCTAAAAAGTCAAATGCTTTGACTGTCAAGATGTGGAAAGATATCAATGATATCTTTGAGTATCTTAACTTCCAAGACGAGGTTAGAGCCGTTCTCCTTACAGGAGAAGGCAAGAACTTCTCGGCAGGCATAGACCTCATGGATGCCAGTGAGAACATCTTTGGACCTATAGCTGGTTCTGACAAGGATGTTGGCAGAAAAGGAATCTGGCTCCTAAATGCAAAGCTTGTCCAAGACTGGTTCTCGGCACTTGAGAACTGCCGAGTTCCTGTAATCGCAGCTGCACATGGAGCATGTTTCGGAGCAGCCATTGACCTTCTCTGCTCAGCTGATATGAGGTACTGCACTGAAGATGCAAAATTTACTATTAAAGAAATAGACTTTGGCTTTGTGACTGATATTGGAGGGCTTCAAAGATTCCCAAAAATTGTTGGGAATGATAGCTGGGCAAGAGAACTTTTATATACGGCAAGATTGTTTGATGGTAAAGAAGCCTTTGATCATGGATTTGTTAATAAAACTTTTAAGACTAAAGAAGATCTACTGAAAGGAGCCGAAGAATTAGCTGACGTCATTGCTAGCAAAACTCCTATTGCTGTTGTTGGCACAAAAGAAAGCATAATATACTCAAAAGATAACAAGATAGAAGATGGACTCACATTAGTAAGAAGACTAACTCCCCCATTGTTGCAATCAGAAGATGTGGCTACTGCGGGAATGGCTGTGATGCAAAAGAAAACTCCTACATTTTCTAAGCTTTAAATCTCTGAATAAGAATATCTTCAAAATCTCCTTTAAAAATAGGGGTTTTGGGGTTTTGGGGTTTTGGGG